TTATAGGAGCTACAATTTTACGCTATTAGAACTACATACATCAAAATCTAAAATATTCTGTTGAACAAATTGTCCTTTACACATTGCAACTCATGATTGATGAGAATACGTTCGTGATGGAACATTTCAATTCGTGTATATACTTAGTTGTTGTGTACGAATATTTCAGTTCGTGTAGGGCCTATAATTAGTTGTTGTGTACGAATATTTCAGTTCCTTTAGTAAGCTCATCGGGGACTTGAAAGAACTACAGGAAAAAGACTACGGCGATGAAGCGCGAGGAGCACAAAGGTGAGAACATTGGAATACCTGTCCAAAATATCTACTAAAGAACATTTGATATTGTTTCCCCACAAACTCTGTAATTCCATGTTATGTCAAACTGTTGTCTGTGATATTTTGTCTAGAGTTATTTAATATGTGCAAATATCGTTCCCTTCAGTAAGGTAAACACATTCTAAAGAGCGTTTTTTGTTGAATGATGAAAAACAAACGTTGAGTAGTAGCTAGAACATATTTACACTACTGGTATATTTGTATTAAGATGGCGTTATCAATCAGCTAGTGTAAACACCCTTGTGGATTAGCGTAATAATACGACATCATTTGTCCATCAACTGTTCATAAATAACAGCAACATCATCCATTACATCTACCCTATATTTGCCAGGCTCTCAGAACATAAGAATGACTCCCAAGAACAGAGGTGTGTGGTTTCGTCTTTTTGTCTTGGAATGCGTTTGCAATAAGCCCGTTGAATCCGAAGATATATTTGTATTTATATCCACTCTGTACTAACAGTATTAATTAAGTTCTGGCCTGGGCTCCACATGTGCACTAGGGGTACCGTTGTCTGACACCTGTTTCCTCTACACTGTGCCCCAGGGACGTGCTGCTCATGACAGGTTAATGTGATGTGAACGTGCATGGGTGCTTGTAATCTGATTACCGTATTACCCTAATGGCACAATATTGAAATCGGAACCTTATAGGCAGGCTAAAATCTGTTTCCCTGATCGATTTGGTGAAATTACTTCTAGAATGATATGGCCGATATGGCATCTCGTTAAATGAAATAAATGAAATAGCGGTTGATTTAGTATCAGTTAGAATGCGATTTCGTGTAGAAAATGTAGAAATGTATTAAGCACTGTATCGTGAGAGTAGAAAATGTTGTAAGTACTGTACAGTAATTATAGTCAGTGTATATACTTAGAACGTACAGTGATTGCAAATTAGCACTGAATAATAAGGGTAGTGCGTATTCCGTCTTTTTGTAATGCAGAGTTATCTTCTCTTGTGGGCAGATATTGATTGTTACGTCATTTGTTTATGAGAGTAATGTCATCAATTTTCTCACATAAACCAATGACGTAACAATCAATACCTGCTC